TGTATTTCAATATTCCCATAAAAAGAATTTTTTTTTAATAAAATAAATTAGATGTGCTTATTTGATTCAGGTATCTTTAAAATGTGATAAAGTATTTAGAAACCCTATAAAATCCAGAGAGAAAAGTGGATCTAATTACAAAAGAAATTAAATTCTCAAATCCCTATACTGTTACGAATGCAGTTAAAAGTCTATCAATCATATTTAATAAAAATGGCAGACAGTTTGTGCCAAAATCAGCTAGAATCCTTTTTTTTCAGCTGCAAATGCATTCTATTTTAATAAATAAATTGTATTTCTCTTGTCATATTATACACGTTCCGTTATCTAAAACAATGATTTTTTTCTTAACTTTTCAAAAAAAAGCTTTTATTGATAGCTTAAATGAAAAACATATACAAGTTTTTTCGCTATCACCAAAAAACATTTCAAGTAGAAATAACAACTTTTTGTCAATTGACTTATATAAAGTAGTATATTTAGGAAACCATATTGCGTCAAGTTTCTCTTGAGACTCGTCATATAATCGATTTTTAAATGAGTCTCTAGAAATCTTCTGAGAAAAAACTCAAAAGGATCTCTTTAAGAGGATCTTCTAAGGTAGCTCTTCACTTTAAACGAAAGCTTACAATATTAAAAGTTACTAAAGATAAGGAAGGCTTCGCATTGCAGCCGTATTATAAAATAATCGACCGCAACTAATATTAAAAGAAAACTGTGTGTCTAAAAGCGACGCATAAATAGATATCGCGAAAATCGTTATCAAGCTCCATGCTATAAGTATAGATTATATATTGTTGTATAGACTACCAAAGAGCGTAGATTATTTTAGCAATATTGCAGCAACATTGCAACGTTCCAGTAATATTGCAGTAACATTGCAAACGTTGCAGTAATATTGCTATACGCTTCTGTACTGCATAGGAAGGTTTGCAAAAACGCTATAAAAAAAATTATAAAAACTATAGTTGGCTGCTCGCGAGGGACTATAACTATTATTACATATTTCTCCAGAATGATCGTTACGCCGCGCTGCGCACCGTAATGAGAAAATCGCGCGATCAATATCATTACCAATTCAAACGAAGGACTCCTGTATACCTTGCGATACATTTTGTAGCGCACGGCCGCATATGTATATCTCTTAAACACGTAGCGCGATCAATGAAACTCATATGATGATAGGGGGTCATGGGAACACGTCCGGGTTCGTCAATAAAACCATTTTATTTACGACACTCACATCCTCTTTACAAAGTCACAGCCTTATCGAGACGATAAAGTATATCAACACGCAGCATCCATATTTATACATCCATATTTATATAATTCCTCTTTTATATATATATATGTATATATATATATAAATTCTGCATCTATACATAGATATAAGTCATTAAAGCTCTTCTTCTTTTTCTTGTTCTTCTTTTTTTTTTGTCTTCTTACAATAAATCAACACCCGTAGGAAGAATGAAAATGTATCTTACTACTTTTTAGTGAAGATTGATTTTGCGCGCTTTGAGCAAAGGTGCCGGAAACAATCGGAAATAGAAGAACTCGATTCGAGTGAGTCAGGCCGGTGCGACTTATTGCATAAATACCCTCGAACTTGGCGAAAAGTGAATTCAAAATGAGTCTTACGAAAGAATCATTTGTTTTACGTAAATTGCGAAATTTACAAAAGTGGCTTGTAGAGATATGGTCCTCTTTTAGGACAAGAGCACATGATAGACAAAAAGCCTGTTCTTTTTCCATATTCCAAGACTGAATTTACATGATTCTTTCTTTCTTCTTTTCACATTGGAAAGAAAAAGACAAAAGATGATGTGCAAGAAGTTCAATTCCTGGAGTATGAATAAAAACAGGCCTAAAGTTTTTTTTTTCCAAAATTAAAATTGTTTAAAACATTTGGAAGAAACAATTGTAATGTACTGATATATTTTGTCTTAATAAGCACTATCATTATACCTGGCTAACTGTCTTTTTTTTTTGTTACTTGTTCAATTTTTAATTCTCCAAACCATTTAGATAATTAGCATTAATTAAAATTGTGTTATACCTATGTGCCTATAATGTCCAGACGATGTGCAATGTCTAGGAATTATCTTTACGATACTTTTTAGATATCTTTTAGACATGTATGTTCTAAAAGATATCTTTATCTTTTACACATGCACGTTGTATGGGCATTGTATGACATATTGTGTGGTAATGTTACATACATTACCATGGACTGTTCATAAATGATACAACAGTCGGCCGACACTTCATCTATTGTGTGCTCTTGTCCTGGGAATTAAAATCTGATTTGCCTGTATCGAGTATGGGCCAATTAATTTAATGGATACACGTTGACCGCGCGAAATATTGAACACCTAGGACGATTATACAGCGTAAAAGTGACGACGACATCGAGTTTAGGAGTTCGAAGAACTGCCTCTTGCTTAGAAATCTTTATATCCCTGATAAATAACGGGAGTACAATCAGAGCGTTCTGCCCAAGATTGTTCGATAAATGTCTTACATTTTGATTCGTCGATACGTATAATACAACCGCGGGTGCCGCAGAAAGACATGTGTCAGTGCATAGTTCAAGTGAAGAAGTAAATAGTTTTAATTTTTCTCGTTTTATCCTAAATCTCATGTTACTCTAATCGCTATAGTCTAACGTCCCCTGAAGTTTCTCTCCTTTGGGGTTTACAATTACTTAGAGAATTACAAATCATTTCTGAACAGAATCATGAAGCTCGTAACATATTCTCGTAATAGGCTTTCTATAATAAGCCATTACCTAAGTTTCAAGTCTTAAGAAATTAACTAATCACAGTGCGAAAAATAATCGACTATGATTGATTAATTCTTTAAGACTTCAAACTTAAAGCTTAGGCTTAATGGCTTGTTGCAGAAAGCTCTTAAGACTTGTAGTTATAAGAACTTACAAGTGCTTATAACTTTATGCAATATTACAGCAATTTACAGTTTCCTACTAGCCGTAAGATTTATGAGAAATCCGTAAATATTTATGAACGATCGATTTTAGGATACATATGTATAAAATATAACATCAATCATAAGTTCTTACAAGTCTTACGAGAACAAGTTTTTGAATTTTACAATTCTACTTAGAATTGACCCATTAAATTACCTGGACAGTAAGGTCCCGTGGATTTACGTGTCTAGGACGCGTAGGGGACTCGCGAGGGAGCCGCGAGAATAAATAATTAATTGTCTAAAAAACAGTTCGTGACACCGAATACAGTATATTGCAAAATAGTGATCCACGAGTTAGACCCGATATGATAAAACCGCGCGGATGGAAAAGTCCTAATTGTATCTCTATTTCGGACGTCATTCCCGCGCGTGAACGGTTGTCGATAACACGCTAGGCGATATATATTTTTTTGTACTACGTCACATATTGCTATTCTCTATGTCGAAAGAGACGATGACGCGCGGAGCGTCGCGCTGCTCCTTTCCTCACTTGCGCGACATACTTGTAAGAAAAACATAGTGATGCAACTATAAAGGTGACAACAAATTTTATATGCGGAATTAATGTACATAATTGAATAAATTAACACACACGTGATTGAATAAATTATTTCATAGTTGTGATAATTATGCGTGGATAGTTTGATAAGTCAGTGACTTTTTAAAAGGAGACTACGTTGAAAGATATTAATAAAAATAGAATATTTTTGTACAAGGAATCACCCCATTCAGTTATACTATATAGGTTTGTCTTCACCCTGTATAAAACTTGTATATTTGCCATCTTCATACTATAGTTTGTCATCACTATTTTTTTCTGATTGCGAGAAACGACAAAAAAAGAAACAACGAAAAAAGATCCACCATTAGTGCCGGAATTGGATCGTCAAGTGGATCAACTTAACTGTCAATGTATGACTGCGCTCGTAATCACGGCTATTTTATCAGGTAACAGATTTGTGATAATAAATAAGTACGTAGGATACGTCGGTTTTATAAAATTATGGCGTTAAATGAGATCGCTGAAAAATACAAGTCGGCACTAGAAAATAAATCTAGAATTGGAAGACCAACCGGAAATAAAACGTTGTCTCTCCACCGTGTTCCTACCTCTCGATGATACGCCGAGGGAATCGATCGAGATATACGGCTATAATATAACCCGAGGTCCAGCCACAGAGCATTTTTCATCTTTTCGACGTGCGACATGTATCTATCGAAAAATAAAGGAGCGCGTAAAAGCGCCCGTATGTCTGTGTTTGCGTGTGTATGCGCTTGTATATACATGGACGAGTTTGTTAAAATATCTAAAAATTTAGGTAGATCTAAAAATAAATTTAAAAATTTTAAAATAATTTAGTTGGACCATTAAAATAATTATGGAAATTTTCACATTCAAATATACGTAATTATGGAACTTCTCCATACAGAACGATATTTCAATCAAACGGCACAGATCCCTAGGAGACGTCCTGAGGACGTTCGTGTGTCCTTTAAACATTCTAAGAACATCTCCAGGATGTATCCCGGATAAAGTATACTATTAGGAATGTTATAATATTATTGCAATATTGCTGGAACGTGACGTTACCGAAATATTGCTAGTACGTTGCAAATGATGGTGCAATAACATATTGCTGGAATAAATCTATGGGCAAGCATGATAATCAATGGTGCAAAAAGTTTTGACAATCTAACAATCAGCTTAAGTGTTTTACGTAATTATTTTGATAGACCAACAAAATTATTTTCAAATTCGTGTGCAGTCTAGCTAAATTTTTATATACTTCAACAAAACTGTTCTTTCTATATGTCGTGTATGGTGTGTGCATACGTATGTGTTGAGTGGTACGGATTACGGAGGGATCGTGATTAACCCTTAACCAGTTTTGACACCCTAGCAATTAGCTTGAGTATTTTACATAATTATTTTAATAAACCAACAAAATTATTTTCAGATTCGTATCCAGCTAAATTTTTATGTACTTCAACAAAATCGTTCTTTCTGTATGTTCGTGTGTGGTGTGTGTGTTGCGAGTGGCACGGATTACGGAGGGATCGTGATTAACCCTTAATCAGGTTTTCGATAAATATTCTCTTTGGTATAGCTATTGCACTAACCATCGCGAGGCTCTTTGAGAAAAAAAAAAGGAAGAAAAAGAGATGCCGAACGAGTACTCGTACTCACCAGTTAAGGATTAAATATTCGTATCGAGCGGCGCGAGTGCGATTCATTTCCACCCTCTCGGGGATGATCGCCGGCGAATTCGATCGCGAGGCAAACGAGTCGAGGAGGGGAGGGGGGGCGGGGGGGAGAAGCAGGGCGCCGGTTCGTGTCTAGCGGCGCGGACGTTAGATTATCATCTCGTTCTCCCTGTTCTCGTTCCTCTGGTTCTCCTCGTACTCGTCGCAGCAGCAACAGTTCGATGTGCAGTCCTCCTGGTTCTCGGCCACGTACGTCATGTACGTATCGATACTTTTGGCGTCCAGGGACGGCAGGGACCACGAGAGCGAGGTCGTTTCGAGGTCCGGGATGGCCGTGTGCCAGGAGCTGGGATTATGCGACCTTTTGGCCTTGCGGCTTCTGGTGGACAGCTTCTTGATTGCCTACAAAAGAGGAAGCGTAGGTCGCTCTGATGAATAACGAGCGAAAAGAATAAGAAACGAAAGAGAAGAAGACAAGAGAGAGAGAGAGAGAGAGAGAGAGAGAGAGAAAGTGCACCCCGTCGCGAAAAAGGTCGTCACGAGTTACATGGCTAATAAAGCTAGTTACACGATAGAGTTATCCATCAACACGTCACGACACTTAAGAACATCGATCCGCAATAATTGAACCGTCACGCGGGGAAATTTCACGCCTAGGCGGAATGACGTAAACAGTAACGTGTGATTTAATCTGTCACAACGTGTGTGCCGCTAAAATCTCACATGGAACAACACGAGGGTGGGTTAAGTAAGACTCGGCGTTCGAGCTACCTGAAGCAAAGCAAACCGGACTATCGGAGTGATTCGTCGAGTGAGGACCGGGACGATGGATTTGGATTTCACAATTGCCGCACTTACGAGGCAAAAATTAGGTCGCACCACGAAACACGCAGCGATGAGGGAACCGAGCAGTAGAAGCCGAAGAAGTCAGTCGTCCGTCGAACGTCTCGTTAAAAAAAAAACGGGGACCATCACTTACCCGCAGAATCCTGCGGCCGGATTTGCCGAGGAATTTCTTCAGCATCGCGGCCGATCGTCGTCACCCTCGCCTCGTAAGGAAACAACCCTCCTCGCCGATCGTTCTTCGGCGCTTCCGCGGGGCGCGAGAACCTGACACGCGCCGGGATTGATTTTCGGCTCGTGTACGCGCCTCTTTTATCCGCGCCCTTACGGTCCGCCTACGTTCGCGCCGTCGTTGCGGATCGATGCGAACGCAACGGCGTCACGCGACGAAATACCGCTCCGGAACGCCGCGCCTCCCCATTTATGACCCCGACCGACGTCCCGTGCTCCGATCCCGCACGATCATCCCCGAGCTACCCGAGACCCCCCCTCCCCCCCCCGCGGCATCTCTCACGTCGCAACCCCCTCGCCGTGATCACGAGGAAGACTTCCGGAGTGGCGTGCTCCAGGCACTTAACCCTCGCGGAGATGGATGGAGATGGACTAATGGGCAACCGGTACGCCCAGCTTGACGCAACAGTAATTTCCATTTCGCGGTGGCATCACCCTTCCGACTTGGATTGATTTTAATTGACGGTCTTAAATGCGACGGATAAACTTCTGCTTATCTGACATTTCGCAAATTGCGTCTGATTCTATATACTACTATGAACTGCTTATTAATATGATAGAGAATTTTTCTCGCTGGGAAAGAGAAATTATAATTCTCTTTTTGCCGCACTTTATTTCTAAATCCTTTTTCATCGTAATTTTTTTTCGTTTTTCTTTTTCATAGAAAATGTTAGAGTTCAGGTTTAAACTCCGTTTCTCCTAAAGCGACAGTATTACTCGTATATATTCGTTATGGCATAAATTATAATAAATAAAGTTTGCCATAAATGCAAACGCGGATTCATCGTAGAAATGTAGGTTACTCGTAATTGTAATAATGTGATATACGCAATCAATTATAACGCAGTTTTTATCATTTTTTGACTGAGCTAGTATTTCTCTTGTTTCTTCAAACAATGGCTTGATTTCTTTCTTTCATCCCTTACTAATTGCATTAATACAAAACTAATCAATTAATCAAAAATTGAATATAATTTATAATATTACATTTCTCTAATATTTCTCATAACGTTTACAAAAATATATACAATAATGATAAAATATTAGGTGTAGTAAAAAGTCATCGCGTTTTTTTAAAAGACATCTATCAGTAAAAACCGCAATTACTTTCTTACCAACAATATAAATATATCTTGATAGAGTAAAGTTTCAGCTTTAAAAATCTCTTTTTTAAATTATACGATACGACAATTTTTAATGGAGTTATGAGCAATTAAAGTCAAAATAATTCTTTTATTTAATCCGCGATAACTCAGTAATCAAAAGTCGTAGGAATATTTAAAAAAAACGATTTTGTAGGGAAAGTATCAAGCTTTCACGATATGTAATCGAAAATTTTCTCAAATTCGTTTTGGACACGTTACAAATCCACAAAGTGAGAAGAAAATTTTTCGTCTTTTTCAGCTCGTAGTTTTTGGTATGTAAAAATTATCAAACTCATATAAACTTAAAAAATGTGATAAGCTTTTAAAAGTAGAGATTTCAAGCTTTAAAACCCTTTTTTTTAATTTTAATTTCATTCATTATTGACGAAGATATTATATATACAACTTTGAGCTAAAAAATACGCGATGACTTTTTACTACACCTAATATGAATACTTTATAAAATATTATGATAGAGAAAGTATCGTATTTGCCAGTATTATATTTAAGAAGATATTACACGTAGTTTTTAACAAAATTAAAAAATTACAGCTTTTTCTGTATTTAAAAGTAATACAAAACAGTAATACAACAGATAAGTGCCGATTTAGAATTTAAATAAAAAGTTATTTTAATAATTAGACACGCTTTAAAAAAAAATAAAGACAAAATGAGATATTTTTTTATTTAAACTATGAAATGATTTAACATTGACTTTATTGTACTGTTTCATATGTATTTAATGTTCATTTTTATACAGAAAATGTAAATTTTCAATTCCAGTAATTTTTTGGAGGAGAGATTACACACTTGATACATCCTTAAAATAAAAGTACATGTAACAAATAAGAAAACCAAAACGGTTCCATCTGTCCGTAACCAGAGAATGCGAGGTACCGATTAATCAATGCACAATTCGATAAGGAATACGCGTGCGTGCGAATCTTCGCTGCAATGCACTGTGCGATGGGACAGAACGAGTGCTCAATGGCCCATGGGGAATAGAGGCGAGAATAAGAACGAATTGGATTAATGCACGAGTGATTGAATGAGAAAATCTATCGCGAGAGGCAATCGCTGATTGACGAAACGCTGGTATAAGTGATAATTTTATTAGACCGCGATTCTGATCGATTAATTCATCCTCAATTCAAGTAGCAATCATTATGATGTGATATCTCAATGGCTATATTGTATTATAATTTTTCTTACATCAGCATGTATCATGTTCGTAGAAAAGTAACACAAATAAAAAATTAGTACTGTGAGTGTGGCATTTGAATTTTTAAATCTCATGACAACAACTTAGTTTTAAAGAATACATTTTAAAACATTATTTGACAAAAAAATCACTTTTTCGTTAAAATATCATGGTACATTTCCAGAAGATTTTTTCGTGGAAAATACGATGCTGTTGATAGAATTTTTTGCATAGCACGTCAGGAAAATGTCATTTTTTTTTGTCAATTTTACCTTAATTTATTCAAAATCCTGACGTGCTATGCAAAAAATTCTGCCAACCGCCTGTTTAGCGGGAAACAATCTTCGAGACATGACTATGACATTTCGGAAAAAAGTAACATTTCAGAAAAAAATTTGGTTGAATAATGTAATTGAGTATATATAATTGAAAATATTATAACATGAAAAGTAAGCAAAGTTATACATATTAATTAAGGCTCCTATTCACTCATCATTACTATCTTAAAGTGTGACGTCAGACGTGAGAAATGCACAACAAAAATTCTTGCAAATTATATTTGAATACCAATATTTTTCAATAAAGCAACATTTGCAGTCGGTGAATAGACATAAAATATATCGAAAATGTTTATTTCTATGTTAATTTCTATGTTAACTTGATAATTTATATCGTCATAGTCATAAACAAATTTCAATTCACGTTCATGCATATTTATTTATTAATATTGAATTCGTTTTTTTTTTTTGGGGCAAACTTAACATTTGAATGAGAGTTTGTTGCTAGTTGTAATATTCTTCTAGATCTATAAGATCTGAAGATTGAATGATCTAAAAAAATACATTAATAACAAAGAGAGCTCACTCAACTGTTATAGAAGCGAGATAAAAAAAGAGATATTTCGATATATTTTATAAAACAATTATATCAATTGTAAGTAGATATATTGTGTTAAACATATTTTTAAATTAACATATTTTGCAAGAATTTATTTACTGTATATTTTTTGCTTCCAACGTCACACTCGGAATAATAATAATTCAACAGGAGTCTTAATTAAATCATTGTTTAAAGAAATGCTCAGAATTAAAGAAATGCTCTGCTGAAAGTAATTAATTTTGAGTAAATTTAAAATTTTCTATCAATACAGCGATGTCGAAAAAACATTTGCAAATTCAATACGCAAAAAAGTTT